TCAATTTTGGTCTCATCTGACCACAGCACTTTCTCCCAAGCCTTCTCTGAATCATTTAGATGTTCTTTGGCAAACTTTAACGGGCCTGTACATGTGCCTTCTTGAGCAGGGGGACCTTGCGGGTGCTGCAGAATTTCAGTCCATTGCAGCGTAGTGTGTTACTAGTGTTTTGCTTGGTGACTGTGGTCCCTACTGCCTTAAGATCATTAACAAGCTCCTCCCGTGTAGTTCTGGGCTGATCCCTCACCTTTCTCATGATCATCCTTACCTCATGAGGCGAGATCTTGCACGGAGCTCCAGACCGAGGCCGATTGATGGTTGTTTTGTATTTCTTTCATTTATGAATAATAGCACCAACAGTTGTCTCCTTCTCACCAAGCTTCTTGCTGATGGTCTAGTAGCCCATTCCAGCCTCGTGCAGATCTACAATCTTGTCTTTGACATCCTTTGACAGCACTTTGGTCTTGCCCATGGTGGTGGGAGAGGTTGGAATGGAAGATACAGATTGTGTGGACAGATGTCTTATACACCTAACGAGCTGACATTAGGAGTAACTTCTTAAAGTGACAGGACTCAAAGTGTTTTTTCTGGATTTTTTTGGTTGTGTATATATATAGTCTTTTTTCCCCTAAGTTGAATTTTACTTTTTTTTTTTGGAATGTGACATATGTGTCTGTCATGAAATGGCCTGTAAAAATGCAGAAAAGTTGCAGACAATTGCTAATTAATTTGAAGCAAAACAATCATCAACCACAATCATGATGTCTTTCACATTTTTTGTGATTAAGTCACAAAGAAAAAGTAAATTACATTGATTTTTAAAAAGAGAACTAGATGCTTTTCACAAATGTAACCATTGTCACATAAATGTCCAATACTTAATTAATACAACCTCAAGTGCTTCAGTACTTTTAAACAAGGGTTACTGTAATAATAAAAATTAAGGACTCTACTTTCTTTCAAAGCTCTTAGCAATTGTTTCATGATGCATAATATTCATTATTATTATCCATAGTTTTAATTGTTTTAATTAACCTAATTTTATTAAGCAATATTAATTTGAATGCCATTCTTTCACTAGTAGTTGTAGTCTTTAACATGTACACTAGAGGTGCTGGGCAGTGATGTTAACAAGTATCTCAGTGAACATGTCCTTTGTGTGATAACTGTTACTACCTTGAGTATTTTAGCTTGTGTGAACACTGGACTGACCAATCAGCACTTTTATGATAGCGTTTAGCATGTTTGACGTTGCATATTGTTCTACACACAGTACAAAAAATACACACTATACAGTATATACAGTATGCAGTGTGTGAGTATTTCACTCTGAACACGTCCTATTTCTCTCTCTCTCTCTTTCGCCTGCAGAGAATGTTCCAGTGGAGCTGCGGGACCCGTTCTACTGTGATCAGTATGAGCAAGAGCACCTGAAGCCTCCTGTCACGCGCCTCCTGCTGTCCCCTGAGCTCTACTGTCGCACGTATGGCCTTCTGCTGGGTGGAAGCCCGGGGGCCAAGGGGCCCCCCAAAGACATCCCAGCACTCCTACAGGTCCTGGGCAGGAAGGTCTTGGCACCCAAAGACCAGAATGCCCCCGTGACAGAGGCTGAGCTCCGGCAGAAGCCCATCAAAATGGTAAATTGTATGAGCGGTGTCAGCACATTGAATTACCGTATTGTCCCGAATATAAGACGATGTTTTTTTCTTGAAAACTTGAAATCGCATCATATGACCCCTCTTGAAATCGCATCATATGACCCCTTAGGGGTCATATGATGCGATTTCAAGTTTTCCTTTCTCTTTGGAGTGTTACAAGTTGATTGTGCATAGATAAGATCCCTGAAGTTGCAAAGACTAAAGTCTCAAAACCAAAGAGATATTCTTTATCAAAGTTAAGACTAGCATGTCAACATATTCTGTTACACCAAATACACAAAATAATGATCTTTAAAAAAGCATCATATGACCCCTTTAAACTCTAAACACTACGTGTAGTACAAATACATATTGAGTGAAATCTTTTAAATAGCCAATGAAAATTTACTTCATTATTGATGTTTTCTAAAGCTGTTTACCATCTTGGATAATTGGAAAATTTCATGAAATTTCATGCAGTCCATGAAGAACACGTGATCCTGCCATATATTTTAGCCTAAATTAGGTATTCTAGAAGGCCAAGGAAGTCCCTGTCTAGGAAAGTCTATTCTCTCGACAGCCATATTTGGCAGCTATTTCGGACACCCTTTTCAGAAATCCTGAAATCTCAAAAACGTATTGCCAAACTCATCTCAGCAACAAAATCTGACATGAAATGTCCCATAAATGTTGTTTCTAATGCTTAAATTAGCATTAAAGGGGCCATATAATGTTGCTAAAAAGAACATTATTTTGTGTATTTGGTGTAATGAAATGTGTTTATGCGGTTTAAGGTTAAAAAAACACATTATTTTCCACATACTGTACATTATTGTTTCTCCTCTATGCCCCGCCTTTCTGAAACGTAATCATATGACCCCTTTAAAAAGCCTCATATTTTAGGATGGTCCAGCCGAAGACTTGACCATTTGGCGATTGGCTCTTTTAGTTTGGAGCCAGGACTTATTCCTGACTCCTATATTTCGTCACTTTCTCCCATTCATAGTAATATCTGAATGCACTGGGTTGGTATGTCTGTAGTCTTCTTTGGCCATATCTAGAATTTGTATCAGGAACTGCCCATGATGGCAAAAAATATTGTCTATGCAGGAACCTTAGTAGGTTTTGGGACACAAGTGATGTATCTATGATTTATTGAGCTTAGATGTCTCATTGTAGTCCAGCAGCTCAGATCAAAGGGATATCCTGCCAAAAGTCACAATCAATTGACCTTCTTTGGATTAGGACACATGTGGATGGTTTCACTGCAGCACTGGGGGATGGTTTCTGGAGGTAAAGCGGGTTTTGGGGAGGGGCGGCTCCTGTTTATGCTTGGATTCCAGGGATTATAGCATATAAAGCAGCTCCCCCTCTCCAGCAATCCCCTGAGTAGATCCAGTTGTAAGGGACAGGACAGTTATTGAAAAACCGCATGCTAAGCCCAGGCTCACTGGGGTGGACGGAGAGACAATGCAGGGGCTGACAAATAGTGGCAGGGTCGAGGGATCAGGCCTTAAAACAATAACCAGACAAAAGACAGTAGACCCTGTACTGATGTAGCACTTTCCTCCCTGTCAGAGAGGGTCCTTCTCACAGCAGGAAGGACTTTAATGGACACTAATGGAGTGTTTGATTCTCCTTGGGCCCAGAGCTTTTTACATTTAACTGTAGAGTTCCTCTTACCAGGATTTAACCAAAACGTACTACTGTAGGTGATAGACGTCAGTGTTGTCGAATATAAATAAGTCATGATTAGAGAAATAATAATAATAATCTATATATTATATTATATTATATTATAATTATTGAAATATATTATATTTATAATATATTTTATAAAAACTAATAAAACTGACTAAAACAGCAAACAAAATTACTAAAACTAACTAGTTTTTTAACTAGAATTAAATTATTAAATAAATAATATTATAAAATAATGGAAAATGGAAATTATTGTATTATAAAAATGGAAAATATAAAAATAAAAAGTGATTCAAAATGTAAAACTATAATGATACTAAAGTAACAGTTTTTTTTTCTTAAAGAAACAAGGTGTCCCATGTATTGCTCACAGAGCTCACAGATAAATTGATTATAACAACAGTGGTTGTGTCGATGAACTTGCAAGACCTTAAAAAAGCTGTACCCTTTGACAAATCTGGCAAAGAGATAATTTTGGACCCTGTTAACAGCCCTACAAGCCGTATGTCTTTTTTTTTTTTTTTTTTACATTCTCCGCAGTGACCCATTTCTTGCTTTGTCTCGCCCCCATTATACCCAATTTAAATTCTGTGTATTTGTTCCAGTGTCAGTTCTCCAACAGAGCCATCTCTGATGATTGCTGACTCCTCTGAGGATGCATGATAGAGTGTGGTGCCTGTGGCAGGTGAATGTTCAGCTCTGCTGTCTCTGTCTGGGACTCCGGCTGCTGGTGTCATGATGTGCTCGGCGAGCTCATCTGGTGCTGTCTGGCTGCTCATGGTGTGCTTCCCAGGCCTGGCTGTGGGGGCGGCTGGCTGGCTGGCTTCTGTAGCAGCGTGATGAAAGTGGGTCATGATGTAGAATTAGGATGGAGATGCAGCAGTCTGAAACAAGGCCAGTAACAGCTTTGGAGCTGTAGTCTGTTTTAGCAATGAATATGCATCAAAATTTGGCATACTTCCTGCACCGAAAGTGTGACAACTAAAACTTGATGTACTTACACTTGATGTATTAAATTCTTTTTTGGACATGCACCATGATAATACCATAGTATACCATAGTCCCATGGTGTTACTATCTGATCATTTCATAATTGATGAACTTTGCAACATTGACACTGTTATTGAACTAAATTTAATCAACAGTGAGCTAAATTGAGCTGAATAATGACAATATTGTTTTCTGTAGAGCTGCTTTACAGCTATAATTGATGAAACTGATGAAATTTGCTACACTTACTTTGCTGTCTATTTTTTTCTGTGAAACAGCCTGTATTGTATAAAGCGCTATACAAATACGTTTGACTTCATGATGCAAAGCACTTTGTGTCTTCCACTCTATGTGGAACAGGGAAGATATTATTCCTTCTGAATGAAGGAACATCTGGAGACACATTGCTGTGACCTTCCTGGTTAGCTGTCCACATCTCTGCAGGTTTGACATTTTCCACTCGGATGCGGAGCAGAGCCCAGCCCCCATAGAGTATAAAGATCTGTGAAGATTAGTGATAATCTGTGATCCAGACTCGACGTCATCATCCAGCTGAATATTAACAACCAGACATGCCACATTTCAGTTCTGTTCAACTGATCTGAGACGTCTATTTCATTTCATTTCATTGAAAAAGGAAGCAAGGTGTCTCACAAAATGCTCACAGATGCATTGATTTATAATCTGTGCGTCCATCTACAATACAATCAGGTGATAATCTGTGACCCAGACTCCGAATTATCATACACCTGAATATTAACAATATTCACTGTTAACAATAATATTAACCGTTCAACTGATCTGAGAGGTGTATTTTGTTACTTTATTTCATTATTTTTAATCTTTATATTTAATCTTATTTTTAAATGTATTTTAATCTTGTCTTTAATCTTATTTTAAGTTTATTTGATCTTATTTTAATATATTAAAAAGGATGCAAGATGTCTCAAAAATTCCTCACAGATGCTTTAATTTATAATCTGTGCTTCCTTTTTTGTGTATTATTTACTCTGCAATGCTGTCAAGTGATAATCTGTGATCCAGACTCAATCATCATACATCTGAATATTAACAACTAGACATGCCAACTCTGCTATATTACTTAGGATTTGTATTTTATTTTAGCTTATTTTATTTTATTTTATTGAGCAAGGAAATAAAGTGTCTCACAAATTGCTCACTGATTCATCGATTTATAATCTGTATGTCTATTTTTGTGTAGTATTATTAATTCTGCAGTGCTGTCAAGGGCTTCCTGTGAGCTGCATGCATGTAGTTCCATGAGAGACTCAGGTTGCTGCTGTTGTTGTTTTGTTTGTTTAAAGCAGCACTTTTGGCGCTCTAGCGGTTAATAAACAGAACTGCACACATCCCGCGGAAGAACATTCCAACCGGAGCTACTTCTCTAAGTTTATGTCTATGGCGATTCACGCAGGTATGTGTTACTCCGCAGCGGTGACGAGCTGACCAGGCTACAATAGTCCAAATATAAGTACTTATTATAAGTGTACCGTAGTGATGCGGAATAAGACAAAAACGCGGTTTGGAAGATGAATTCATGATGTACTCATTATATACATTTTGCAAATTTTGAACACAGAAAAAAGTTACATAGTGCTGCTTTAAGATATTCTGGAGGAAATTGTAATAAATGGCTGGAGTTTGTATAACCAGAACTAAACGGGAATTTGGAAGTCAGATTATTGCCGTCTACTTCCTGAAGTTCCTGTACAGCTGTGAGACTCAAGGAGCTGTATTTAAGCACTGCTTTGTGCTCTGCTGCTTGGTTTTATTAATAACAAACACAACTGATTTTCATATTAGAAATGTTTTCAGTGTACAGTGTGTGTGTTTATATGCATGTGCTTTGGAGAATGAGTTCATAAGGTCCAGGGCTGCAGGGTTTTCTGTAAATCACCCCCTGCTGCGCCCCTGGCCCTCTTATGCTCCTGTCTGTGGCACACTGAGGGCTGGGGGTTAGAGATAAGCATCTGTTTTCCCCACACAGTTATAATAACCACACTGAACTTTGTTTTGCCTTTGTCCTGCCAGTGGAGTATTTTGGCGGTTGTCACAGGACTGCCTGGGTTTGTGGTGACGGCAGAATGTCATTCTGACTAGCTGTTGTGTTACCTCAGGATTTCCAGCTTCATCTGTGTGCTCTAAGCTGTGGTGAGGTGCATTGTGGGTCATACTGGTTGTTATGGTGATTTGGCAGGCCGGTTGTGCTCTGTGTTCCAGTGTTGGACCTGCTCCCCTCTCATTAGGAAACTTGTGATTCGGCTTAGCGAGTCCGGGAGTGTCGGGACGGGAAATCCAAGCCCCCCTCCCGTCTCCTCTCGCTTTCATTCCTCTCTTTTGTCGTGAACTGCTCTCCCCTACTCTCTGTATAATTACTATACCGTATAACAGAGCAGAGCTTGTGACCTCTGCAGTAGTTTCTTACCGATCAGACACAAAATTATTTTTGCACTTATTTTGGGCAGAAATCTGTGGATTTTTTGTTTTGTTTTGTTAAACGGGGCTTTAGTGCACTCTTATTTTCAGCTGTAAGCATGGTCAAATTTGCCAAAATAAATATATACGTTTCCATTCAAAGGTTTGCGGTCTGTAAGATTTTTGAAAAATGTTTCTCATTTTATTTTTTAAAATCTTTTGCTTACCAAGGCTGCATTTATTTGATGTAAAAACATTAAAATTGTGAAATATTATTACAATTTAAAACAAATGTTTTCTATTTGAGTACATTTTGAAGTGTAATTTATTATGTGCTGATTTGCAATGTTGATTAATGTTGAAAAGAGTTGCTTAATATTTTTGTGGAAACTAATACTTTTTTTTTTCATTGGAAATACATTCAGCATTTTTTGATGACTAGAAAGTTCCCAAATACAGCATTTGAAATAGAAATATTTTATAAAATTAAAAGTGTCTGTGCTGTCACTTTTGATCAATGTAATGCAAAATAATTTTATTCCAAGCTGTGCTGAAAATCCTTTACCCAATTTGGTGTTCCTGGTCAAAAATGACTGGCCTTTAAATATAGCTTATAAATCTCTCATTATAATATAAAAAGCATTATTTGTGGATAATTTTGGCAAAGTTTACTCAAAAACTGAGCATAAGCTCAGATCAGGGAGTCCTACGATTAATCAGTTCCAAAAAGAAACATAAAGCCTGTCCTATTCAAAAGAGAACAATCTTATAAAAAGATTTAATCAAATATTTGTAGTAATAATGTAGCATAACAAAACAAAAAAAAGTTGTTATACCCTGTGTAAGCCAGAAAGTCAGAAAGTTTTATTCCATTGCGATACCATTAAAATTTTCAGAAAATCCTCTCCATGTCAAAATGACCGGAACACAACATGAGGGTTAAAAAAAAAATCATACTGACCCCAAATGTTTTTTTTTTTTGTATTGTAGACAAGATATTTAATTGTTACTCTTTTTGTCTTTCTTCCCATCTGTACTCTCTTTGCTTATTGCTTCCATATTAAGAAAAGCTCATGGGCATTTGTTACACGTTGTTTGATGTATACTCGACCACACTGTTGCTAATTTATGCATTTACTGTAAAAATTATCTCTGACACTTTTATTGCCACTAAGTGCAACGTTTATGTTTTCATCCCGTTTCGCTTTGCACCAGAACATCTGTTCTTAAAGCGGCACAGAGATCGGTTGAAACCCTCCCACTGTGGCTTATCCTCACGAACACGGGCCCCTGAGTCACTGGAAGCTGAGGTATAAATGCTTTCTGACAGAGCTGCTCCTCCCTCGGCTCTCTGCAGAGGTCAGCACTTCAGTTCACGCTCGGAAAGACACCGCCGTTCAAGTGTGTCACTGTACTGAACAGGATAAACGCATTACTGGCTGCTTGCAAAGGATGAAAGCTGCATGTAAGGGGGCAGACACTGGTTGGGACAGATTAGCATTAGCCGTGTGTGGTAGAGAGGCGGGCCGCATAAGGGAATGTGTCCCTCTGACCTGTTTGACTGTTTGAAAGTTAATGATTATAGCAGGCTGAGTATGGCCAATACGGAAGGCAGTGAAGACAGTCAGGTGAGGACATTCATGTTCACAAAACAGCTATGAATAACACGACTGGAAACATGTGGAAGGCTGCGTGTGTTCTATTGATTTTTGTTCTATTGTCTTTTGTTTTTGTCTTAAAAAAACATGAAAAGAACCCCTCTGAAAATGTCTGGCATTGCTCCAGCTGATAGTGAATGATTGTCTTTGGCCATGTTTGTCTTAGTCATAAACCAAAAGGAAATCTGTTAGTTTTGTCCTTGAAAAATGTCCTTTCTTTACTGTGTTTACTGATTTTGACTATGGAAGAAGTGTTTACCCTCATATCGATTCAAATGTCCCCCGCAGAACCACTATAGTGACCTTGTGTTCCCATTGTGTTGCTGTGTTAGTGAGTGTCACACAGTCTGGGTTATATTTTTATCCAAAATCAAGATTACATTTTGGTTTTTGTAGCCTATAGCCTAATGAAAATTCACATTAAAATTAAGCTTTGGGACATTCAAATTTATCATTTTTACTGTAATGCAAAAACGTTACTGTATTTTTATTAAATTCAGTATAAATTATTTATACTTTTGCATTATTATTTAAAAAAAAAAAAAAATGACCCAAACTATTTTCATGCAGTTCACCTGAACATTAGATGTAAATTGCTATTGACTACACTGACACTCTCGGTGGTTTGGGCTGCAGGTAGTAAACGTCCCCTGGTTGAAGTGCAGAAAGTAGTTAATGGCTTAACCCTCTTATCGCAGCTAAGGTGCTCTCCATGACTCCATGATATTGTGGTTGGGTTGTTTTTAATGGGCTTGGGGTGTGAGCTGCCTCACTGTAATGGACTGAGATCAGAATCAGAATCAGAATGAGCTTTATTGCCAGGTATGTTTACACATACGAGGAATTTGTTTTCGTGACAGAAGCTTCCACAGTGTAACAGAATGACAGTGACAGAACAAAAAACACAGATAATAAAAAATAGAACAAGTAAATAAGGAATAAAAATATATAAATTGACAATTACTAGCCTTTCTCTCTCCCCTCCAGCTAGAGTTGATATTCTTCCCTGCTATGACTAATTGGCTGAGAGAACAGCCTGCTACAAAGAACTCAAAGCCCCTAAATGACCCCGTGGGGAGCACGCCACGGAGGCAGCCATCAGCGTCGGCGCCATCTGGTGGTCATCTGTGTCCTCTGTAGGATATAATTTCTGTTACAGCGTCTGGGATGATGTTGTTGGATAAGAAAGATGGGTTTGTGAGTAGTGGTGAAACAATACCAAAACATCAGTAGTCAATACCAATAACAGTGCCACAATTCTTGATGCAAATGAGCTACCACCGGAAAACAGATATGCAAATGAGCACACTTTTTTAATGTGTGTTAATGTAACCTTACCTTGCCAAATGGCCATTTTGACTAAGATACAGACACGCAGATGATCTTCTTTGAGCATGTGCATGAATTCACAATGTATGCTAGTTTAAAATAATTTTACATTTTGACATAATTACAATTGAATTTTAACAACAGTTTGGTACCAAAATACCATTTTGTTGTGAGTATTCTTTGCACACACTCATTGGTATCCGATGTGCTCAGAAACCCCAGCACACACACACACACAAACACATACTGTCTGCAACACAAATGTGGAATCATGCTGGGGGTTTGGAATTGCAGTCCCCATTGAGCTGTTCTGCAGCACTGCCCTGTATCCTGGAGTCTGTCACACATGAGTCATACTGCAATATATCATTGAGAGAGGGAGAGAAGAGGAGGGAGGGAAACAATACTGCTGCAACACTTAAAAAGAGAAAAGAAACTGCAGGAAGTCAGTATTGAATAATATTGATTCATGTCTTGCTGCTTGATTGCACAGTGCTTCAAGGATGCACTACGCAGCAGAACAATGCATATGCATGTAAGTCATGGCACATTATTTTTCCTTTGCTCTGAGTCTTTTACTCTGTATACTGTATCTCTCTTGCAGTGTCACGCACACTTATGCAGAAAACCAAACATTCTTCTTCAATAAAGAATCTTCAGTCCTGTGGCATTAGAAAGGCCTTGCTTTCTGATGCTGTTCTGAATGTTACTAGATGGTGTTATTACATTAGGCGCATTAGGTCAGTGTTCGAAATAACAGCTGGGTTTTCTCTATGCTCAGACAGTCCTGTTTGTTTTCCTCTGATTGGTACAGAGTGCCCACTTGGAGTTGATGGATGACTTAATGGCAGTGGGTGCCATGGAGACGGTGAGCACAGTCTTGGCGAGCGGCGGATCGGAGCTGTTTGGTACAGATGCAACCTGGGACAGAGTCCTGCTTTGCTGGGTTAACACGGTGAGTCTTCTAATGAACTTAAGCAACACAGTTTCTTGGAGCTCAAATAACTCTTATAAACTCTCATAACTCATAAATCTAACTAAAAAGAATAATTTACAATGTTTAAAAGAGTAGTAAAAATGTCGCTATAACAGTTTACTTCATCATTTACTCACTCACTTGTTCCAAACCTGTATGATTTTGTATGATGCTTAACATAATCTGCAATATTCCAAGTACTTTTATGATGGGTAACATTATCTATGAATAACTTAAAATTTCAGTCTGTTTCTCGCATAAAGCTATCACATTGCTTCAGAAAACTTGGAACATAGTCAGGGCTCGCAAAATTTCAAAATCGCTGGCAGCCCTTTGGGCAGACATTCTTCAGATTTTGGTAGCCCAAAATTAATTTAAGTAACCCGAATAAAATTTTTAAAAAGACATTGGCTGAACTTCACTGCGGACAAATGAGCATGATTTAAAAACTTCAGTGATTGCTTTTTTTCTTCAAATAACAAGTCAAGAGAGTAGGGGTGCAACGGATCACAAAACCCACGGCTCGGATCATATTGCATTATCATATCAGATTTTGAGTAACAGATCGGATAATTTTGCAGATGAGCAAAAAAAAATATGGTTAATATAAATAATAATAATAAATAATTATTTAAATAACAGAATACTTTGATACCACAGCAAAAACTAGTAGCATATAGGGATGTAACAATTCACTCAACTCATGATGCGATGCGATACGATTCACAATACTGATTTCACAATACAGTTTTCTCACAATTTTTCTTTTTAACAAAATGAGATTTAAGACAAATTATAAATGAAAAGGTGTCCTTTTATTATTTCTCCAACAAAATGCTGCACATTTCTTTGTGAAATTTAAATGTGTCAAATAATATAACTAACTTGAAATTTTTAAACAAATCCCAAATAAAATAAATAATACAAATAAAATAGATCTCTTCATATAAACAAACTAAGGCTTTGGCTGTGCTTTTTCCATTTAAAATCAGAGGCAACCACTGCATTTTAATCACGATCCAAACTAAGATGCTAAATACGTGTTATTTAGATTGCAATTAGATTTTATAATTTCGAAATTTGAAGCAAAAACAGAATGGTCTGATTTTAGCTTTGTGAATGAGTCAACTATGTTTACGAGAATACTGATGCAAGGATACGCAAAAGAGGAATCAATTCTGTGTACGCACATTGTCTGAAACGCGGCTCTCTGTGCGCGCTTTGCATGAGTGCGCGCAGCTCCGAATGCACGTGAATGGTTTAAAACGCTTGAATTTTTTAATCGGCAATTTTTTAATTATCAAATACGATCCGTTTTACCCCTACAAGCTAGTGAACAACGCAAATCAAGGAAGGGCGAGCCTTGATAGTCATATGGGCTACTTTTATTATGTTTTTAAAGTGCGTTTTGTCTTTTTTGGAGCTTGAGAGTTCTGTCCCAATCCCACTTTAAATGGGAAAGCACCTTGAATGTTCTATGTGTTCTATGGAGAAAAGAAAATCAAGCAAGTTTGGAACATGAAGATTAAATTATTAGACTAAATTTTCATTCTTGGGTGAACTATACCTTACACTTCCCTGTTTACATGTACTAACTAACCTCTAATATATAATATTACTGGCCCTAAAATAGAACCCTGTGGAACACCGTCACAAAAGATGCTCTGGGTGTGTGCTTCAACAAATAAAGTCATGTAGACTACTACAACTAAATTTTTACTTTGATGTCATTGTCATAAGGTGTTTTTTTGTTTCTCTTTTGTGTAGCTGAATCAAAAACTGAAGGAACAAACAGAAGGTACACAAAATGACGCATCTCAGCCTAGTACTGAACCAGAGCCTGTTCAACCTTCGGTAAGAAACACTCATAAACAAACAAACATACAGACTTGCTCACGAAAAGCTCAAAGGGCACATGTGTACGATAACTTGACCCCTACACCTCTACACAAACAGTCACTCATTTTCCTTAGCAGCACTATCTTTTTCCTCAAGGTCTACTTTGCTGTCTAAATACCTATCCTCTTCCTCCTCCTCACTTCCCCTTCTACCTCTCTCCTCTCATATTCCTTCACTTCTTTCTGACAGTGTCCCACCCGCTGGTACTGGAAACTTGTTCCTGTAAGTCTTTCTCTTGTCTTCCATTCCACCTTCTTTCCTCCATTTTCCTGTCCTAAACCCATATAAATCTGTCCTCTTTCGCCCCCTGCTGGCAGTCCAGGTTACATAGATGGAATTTGATTCCTTTGACCCTGTTTGGGCAATTAATCTAAATCATGTCTCAATTTTAGAGTCCTCCACCTCATATCATGGACATTTATGCATCTATTAGATTAAATATTAAGTATAATAATATTGTCAATGACTTGCAGTATACCTGTAGAATTGTGTGGAGTTTATAGTAATAGAAAATAAAAAGTAAAGATGCAGCTTTTTGTTGATAGCCTGTGTATCTTATCATGGCACATATGTATGCTCAACATTGCACTGCTGTTTTTGAGAGATGTAGTTGTAGTTTCATTGCATCAAGTCCTTGTTCTGGCACTGTAGATTCTACATTTAAAAGTTACATGGATTTCTTGAGGGACATGACTTAGATTTAGATATATCCTCTGGGTGAACCAAAATTGAAGTCAAAGACAGTATTGTTTAGTATTGCAGTGTTCTGAGAACACTTCTTCCATTAGAGGAGTAGTGTCAGTTGTCTCAACATCCTACATCATCATTTGCATTACAAAAAATAAGCCAGAAATAAACATGGCATGTAAATTAAACCATAGTCTATGGTGGTTAAGTGAATAATATAGTGTGTCTGTGTTATTAGTGCACTTATCTCCTAGTGCATGTTGTGTGTATCAAGTGGAAAAGGTCTCTACTGATGTATCAGGTGTTGGCTGTTCACACAGCTGCCTCTGTTCATTGCTCTGAACTGTTGAAGACTAAGTCTCTTGAGTGTTTGCTGTCCCACTTCCCGTTAACAATGTCCTTGCTGTTCCTCAACTTATGTCTCATTCGCTTTTACTGCATTTTGTCTTCATGCACTGCTTGCATGGATTCTTTTTGTTTTTGTGGCTGGTTTTTTTTCCTCTCTTGGACATTTATTGCCATCTGGTTGTCTTTTGTATGCATTTTTCATTTGGTGTTTGTTTCTTTGATATGTATATGTTTCCATCTCTATTTTTGCATTTGCACAAAATTCCCTGTCGATGAAAAATTAACAGTTTCACAATAACAATATAGAGTAACAAGCAACATAGCACTTAATCCAATATTGCAGTTCAACACACTATTTTTCTTGTTCAGATCCGGTACAGGAAGGACAGGATGCAGTCTAAGCTCAAACCCTATTTTCCTGTGGTGAATGAAGTGAAGGATCTCTCAAACGGATGTGCTATTGCTGCAGTTATTCACCATTACTGTCCTGGTCTACTGAGATTAGAGGGTATGGTCACATTTCAAATCTGAATCCGTAGCATATAGGGGTGTATTTCGTAGATGTGTAAGACATTGATTAAATTTTTTTGTCCTATTAGATGTATGTATGAAGGACTCCATGTCTGTGGCTGACAGCCTGTACAACCTACAGCTGATTCGGGAGTTCTGTGACAGCTGTTTGAAGAGCTGCTGCCCTCTAGCGTTGGAGGATATGCTATACAGCCCAGCAGAATTAAAGGTATATAGAAACCTAAATTAAAACATGAAGAGGAGAGGGAGTCTGTATAGTGTAGTACAGTTAGTAAAACAAGGTCAGATTATGTACTGTGTTGGTTATGTTAAAATATGCTTCTAAGTATGCAGTAGGCCAGTGCACCAAAAATGGGGCCATAGGCTTGTACAATGTAGCATTTTTTTCATTGCTATGGCGAATTAGACACCTTAAGATTAGTCTTTACACCGTTCAGTAACAATAAGTGCTGAAGAAACATCAACTGTGGATTCACTTCACATGATTATAATGGGATGATTTTTAATAATAGAGTACAATGGAACATACTATGGTATTTTATATGTAGTGCGTTTTTCTCTTTCTAGACAAACATACTGAACTTTCTGGCAGAGCTCTTGTATTGGTTTGAGGTCTCAAAGCCAGAGTTTGTTCAGCCCCTGCAGGACTCTGAGCTGACTGGTAAGTGCATGTCTTGATGAATGAATAGTTTATTTTCCTGTAGATTTGTAAATTTGTATGTTCCTTTTTAGATTTCTTCAGTGACAGTCTGTTAAAAAGGGATGTGTAAGATGAAGTACTTTTTTTATTCTTGTAGAAACATCTGGAAGGACCAGCAATGGCAACAGCGGGTCCAGCAACAGGTACAACTGAATTTTTGGCATTTGGTTGTATAAAAGCCATATATATAATTTGAAATTATAAACTGTCAGAGTTGCTGCCAAGAACGCACAAAATTATACCAAAGCAAATTTTCAGTTTTTTTTTTTAAATGATCACTTAAATGAGCCTTTATAAAATCAAGGCCGAAGCTTACCATGATTTACTTGTCTTTTATGTGCCAGTGGTTCTCCATCTATCTTCAAAAAGCCTTTCCTGCCCATCTCTTCCCCTGTGACTGCAGCAACAGGTGAAGAAAATGTGCTGTTACTCTGTCCTGAGTCATCATTTGCCATTATTTGTTTGTTCCATTCTTTGTAATGTATGTAAACACTGTGTTTATTCTTGTTCGCATAAAGGAACAATCACATGGTCTGTGTTTGCATGTTGTATGTGTCATCCAGTCATGTGTGTGTTTGTGTTGTCTCTATGATCAGGATCTCTAACTCAGTCTACCTCAATGTCTCATGTAGAGGCAGCGGGAAGAATGTGGACTAAGAAACCACTTAGGTAAGGTACTTCAGTGTTTTATGCATTTTTCTTTTCTTATTAATACTTTTGGGGGAATTAATCTTTTTTTTCTTGATTGCTCTTCAGCCGTCCCATGTCCTCTGCTGTGTCCTTTAGTATTCCTTTTGGACTGGACAGTGATGTGGATATTGTGATGGGGAACCCTGTAATAACTCGGTCTGTCAGTTCGGACAATCTTAACCCTGCTGGTCAATCCATGACACATGTCCCATACACACCCCCAGAGGACCTCAGCCACTTGCTTAGTAAAGCTCCTGGGCCTAATGGCCCTCAAAGAGCTTCTTGGGCCACTCGAACTCGTCCGATGCTGGCTGAAGAGAACGGCATTGATGATAGTGTAACAGGAGAGCTACCAACCATTGAAGAGGCACTGCAGATCATCCACAACGAAGAGAAGATGGAGCCTCGCCTTCACCCGGACGGGGCACCTGATGGTTTCTACCTGCATTCACCAGATGATTCAGCAACTGCTAGACTTAATGGCAGCCCAGTAACTCTCAGCTCTTCAGCCCCATCCCGCTCAGGAATGCTCTACCACCGATCCTCAGGAGTCCCGTCAGAGCCCAGCTGCACCAGACACCCCTCAGAGGGATCCAGAGATGACGACTCCGTATTAAGAGGTGGAAGTGTGGATTCAGATGCCTCCGAAGATCTTCCAAAAACTCACTCCACCCCTGTCACACCCGCCTCGGGCCCTCGCATAACACAACCGCGTAGTGAAGAGACACCGGATAGCGGTGTTAGGATGACCAATTTTGCCGAACGGAAAAAGAAACTTGTTCCAGAACAAGTACAGCCCAATGAACCACAGGCCTCACAGATGACTACATGGGCCAAGAAATCAGAGGAGAGTCCCAGTAAGAGTCCTGCTCTCAGCACTGAAATGTCAGAGCTGGGGGCGAGGCTTGAGGAGAAGCGGAAGGCTATTGAGGCTCAGAAGAAGCGTATAGAGGCCATCTTTGCCAAACACCGGCAACGGCTGGGAAAAACTGCCTTCCTGCAGTTAAAGAAGGAGCAGGAGGATGGGGATGGCGAGGAAGGACGTCAAGGGGAGGTTGGTACCTCCTCTGTGGAAGATGACCTCAGCCGTTTGGCGCTAGAGGAGAATCTGGCACGCTTGGAGAGCGAGGAGCAGCAAGAGGAGGAACAGTTGAAAAAGGGCCCCTCAGTAGAAGAAGAGGGGAATATCAAGCCCTCTGTCCAACAGGACAATCCAGTAGAGAAAGAAAAGGCTGGAGTAGGAGTTCCTGGAGGAAAAGGCACGGCTCCTCTGGGAGATTACAACAACGCTGTGTCTAAACTAAGTGCTGCTCTCAATTCTCTCCAAAGCGATATGCAGCGCCTCTCGGAGCAGCAGAACCAGCTGATGAAGAAGAAGGCAGCTCCTAACAATCAGGCTTGGGTCATCCCACCCAGCTCCAAACCCTCAATAACTGCACCTTCTCGTTTGTCAAGGGAGTCCACTCGTGACCTGCCCTCTGCCTCCTCTTCTCCTTCCCCATCTCGCAAGATTGCAAGTCACACCGCTCCCCCCAAATCACCTGCATCCCACCGTAGGGCACAGTCTGCACCTCCAAAGAGCCCCAAACTGCATCACCACCCTCGGCCTGCAGAGCTCAAGACTCCTGTTTCCACAAGAGTTATAACTCCCCCTCAAAGTGTGGACAACCTTCCTCATTTGCGAAGAGTGTCCCCGTGGCAATACAGGGATCAGAACTCATCCTCTTTCAGCATAGGTACCTCCAGTCAGAGTGAGTCCCGCTCAGCTTCGTCCCTGGCTAGACCAGAGGACAACTTCTCAGACACCAGCTCCAGTGAGGACCATACAATCTTCAGTATGGAACTGGATAGCGGATCTTCACAGGTTCTGCCCCGAAAGGAGCGCCAGGGTGGTGGCAGCAGCTCAGGAGCTCCTTCTGAGTGCTCCTTTGAGAGTGACATTCCTGTAGCTGCTTTCAATGGCAAGCGCAACAGCCTTATCGAGATCTCACTGTCGTCTCTCAAAGCATTAGAGGGTGAAGAAGCCGATCAGAGCCAGGATATCTTCTCAGATTCAATGAGCGACCAAACGGAGCCAGAAACTAGGGGTGGACTTGGATTCTTCTTCAAGGTTAGGGGAGAATCACATGCTAAACTTGGAGACATTTAGCCTTTGTAGCCTTTATTTAACTGTCTGAAACTCTCTAGCAGGATGAAGCTCGACCTGAGGATGAGATGGAGAGGAGAAGAGCTGCATTACTTGAGAAACAACAAAAGAGAGCAGAGGAGATGAAGAGGCGAAGACAGGAACAAGAAAGAGAGAGGGAGGCAAGGTAAGGCTTACCAACAAAGCTGTGAAAAGTGACAGCTATGAATAAGTATGAATGATGGCGCAAATCTTTAGACATATTGAGAGATAATGTGTAATTTCACTTTATTAGCAGTTAACCTTTCATTGAAGGAGGGGTCTGAGCCAAATGTGGATAAGTGCCAAAACAGTGCTGAAACAAGTCCCTTAAAGGGATTGTTCACCCAAAAATGAAAATTCTGTGATTAATTACTCACCCTCGTATCATTCTAAACCCGTAAGACCTCCGTTCATCTTCGGAACACAAATTAAGATATTTTTGATGAATTCTGAGAGCTGTCTGACCCTCCCATAGACAGCAATGTAATTACCACGATCAAGGTCCAGAAACGTAGCAAGGAGATCGGTAAAATAATCCATGTGACATCAGGGGTTCAACCGTAATTTTATGAAGCTACGAGAATACTTTTTGTACGCAGAGAAAACAAAAGTAACGACTTTATTCAACAATTCATCTCCTCTGCGTCACCCTGGTGCCATTTTGGAGAGTATCCACTGAACGTAAACAGCGTATGCTGTTCTGTGTCAGCCGCACCACACGGATACGTTGTTTTTGTTCAAATCAAAGCGTAAACAATGTAGAAAGCGTATGGTGCGTGGCGCAGCTGACACAGAACAGCATACGCTGTTTACGTTCAGTGGATACTCTCCAAAATGGCACCAGGGTGACGCAGAGGAGACGAATTGTTGAATAAAGTCGTTATTTTTGTTTTCTTTTCGTACAAAAAGTATTCTCGTAGCTTCGTAAAATTACGGTTGAACCCCTGATGTCACATGGATTATTTTACCGATCTCTCAGTGGATTTTCTCCAAAAATGACACCAGGGTGACGCGGAGGAGACGAATTGTTGAATAAAGTCGTTATTTTTGTTTTCTTTGCGTACAAAAAGTATTCTCGTAGCTTCGTAAAATTACGGTTGAACCCCTGATGTCACATGGATCCTTGCTACGTTTCTGGACCTTGATCGTGGTAATTACATTGCTGTCTATGGGACGGTCGGAGAGCTCTCAGAATTCATCTAAAATATCTTAATTTGTGTTCCGAAGATGAACGAAGGTCTTACGGGTTTATAACGACATAAGTGTGAGTAATTAATGACAGAATTTTCATTTTTGGGTGAACTAACCCTTTAAGTCCTTTATTATCTCCAAGTGTTTTCATACAAGGGTTTTGTTGAAACTGAAAGCCGAAAATCATCATCAGACTTGGTTGTGGGGTCTTTTTAACTTGTTACTACCTAGCAACCACCCACTTCTTGCAACTGCATCGTAGCACATGGAAAACCACTCAGAACACCTTGGCAACTGCTTAGAAATTTCCTGGCCAGTAACTGTGGGTGGTTGCAAGTTTTTTTTTTATATGCCATCTAATGCACTTCAACTTATGTTAATCCCTATTACCTTTTGGACATTGTGAGCTTTATCAGTGCTGTCTATAAATGTTACAGTAGGTCATCTTCAGTGGATGAGCCTCGCAGAGGAGAGGAGAGGCCCCGAACTCCTTCTACCCCTCCGCCTCCACGCACCCCTCCACCAGAGGGCACTCCTCAGCGGCGTGGAGACTTCACCCGCCAGGAGTATGAACGGCGACATCAGCTAAAAATAATGGAGGATCTAGATAAAGTTCTCCGCCAGAAACCTACTACAGTAAGAGGCGTCAAGAAGCAGAGGCCCAAAACAGTGTTCAGAGATGACTCCGACCTCTCTCGCAGCCCTGCCAAAGGGTTTATGGGTAAGTCATTGATCATCCAGAAGCTTATTTTCTTTCCATTGATAATCACAGTTAGAAAGCTATATGTGATTTGTCAACTCTTTTCTCTCTCAGGTTCTAGACTAAATAAAGTTTACTCCCATTCAACAATGAATCTGTCCTCCATGGCCAATGACAATGGAACGCTAACTGTCAGAAAATCTCCAAGGTAAATCTAATCTGTATTTGTTTGTCTGATAAAACATCTGCTCTTTATTGTGACCTCATCTCTAAATATTTATTTTTTCCCACAGTCGTTCTCATTCACCATCCAGACTGCTATCTCCAGGCCGTCTTGCTGCACAGAATGGAGACTGGGAAAATACATCTACTATTTCATCCCCAGCTTCCATACCAGAATACACTGGTAAACTATAAAAATTACATGATTTGCAGTTTAGTTAGTGGTGCTTGCTAAGGCATTTGCTCAAATTGGGGTTAATTATTTAAACAACCTCAGGTATTAAATTTGGTGAACTACTCGTTGGACACACTTTTGAGATGGACATTGAACAACCTAGTAACCATCTAGCAATGTCTTAGCATTGTGGTTTGCAAATTTTGCATGGGCAAGTACCATTTGCAGAAAATCAAGCTATTTTAAGATTGTTTACATTTGGTTATGTGATCAAAAACTTTGACTTTTAAACAATGACATGCATTTTTGCACTTCCGTTTCAGGACCGAAACTCTACAAGGAGCCAAGCTTCAAGTCCAATAAGTTCATTATCAATAATGCCATCTCTCGCTGTTGTTTGGCAGGCAAGGTCAACGAACCACAGAAAAACAAGATTGTAGAGGTGAGTGACCTGTCAGTCAGCCTATCTAGTACAGTCCGGGCTCTCATGACTCAACACATATTTGCATGGGGCATTTGAATGCATGATGTAATGGTCTGTTCCGTTCATTTGTATTTATTTCTTGTCTGCGAAAGGAAATGGAGAAAAGCTCTGCGAACCATTTCCTCATCCTGTTCCGGGATGCCAGCTGTCAGTTCCGGGCGGTTTACACCATGAACCCCGAGACGGAGGAGATGGTTAGGCTCACAGGTATTGGGCCGCGTGTTATCAGTCCCACTATGGTGGAGTCGATCTACAAGTACAGCTCTGACCGCAAGCAGTTCACGGTCATCCCGTCCAAGACCATGTCCATGAGCGTGGATGCCTTCACCATTCCCAACCACCTATGGGAGCGCAAGCGCCCGGGAACTCCAAAGAAGCTCGGGACCCCAAAATAAAGCCTGCTGGAAATGCCAACTATGCCTGAGCTGGCCACGTCACCCTGGGTTTCTGTCCCCACTCCGCCAGAGTAGCGGGGCACAGTGGAGTGCATGCCTGGAGAAGGAGTGGGATAACTGAAAAGAGGCCCTAATACAGAAAATCCTAAAAGAAAGTGCCCTCAGAAGTTCATGGCGGGTGACTGTGCAAAACCTCTCTGTGTAACTACAAGTCAAGTTACAAAGATCTATTCAGAAATCCCTATTGCCATTTTCTTAAGGTAACTCAAGTGAACACAAGTCATATTTCCAAGAAAGGGGCCTGATTGGTTTTCTAAGATTGTACAAAATGTATCCTTGGCATTTTAGATGCAACTTTCCAGTCTCATCTTTCAAGTAAAATGAATGTCCTCCAGAAAAAGATCCTTAGAAATGTTACTATCTTCCAGCTCCTTCCCTCTTTTACTCACTGAACTGGATCCATTGACATGTAAAGGATGCCCCAGATGAAATCGAATCTTTGCTCTTTGATGAATGTAGGGCACAAACCAACACAGGCCTTCTTATCGTCTTGTTTATCGTCATCAGCTTCTCAGTCTTAAGGGACTGAATGTAGAACTGAATTACAAGGGGGCGCAGCCACTCTCCTTTGTCACGTCATGCGAAAAAGTCCCATGCTGCTGTCCATTTCGAGTCTGTCTTGCTCTCTGATCAAACCGCCCTATCGCTTGGCCTTCCTAAAGTCAGTCGTAGACATCTGGATGTTTACTTTCTTAATGCTTCGGACCTAATCTAACTGGATCACTCAAGGTTTTGGACCTCAGGAGAGCATGTTAAAGACTCAGATATTTTCCTTCGCATTTGCTTTAATTAAGAATGAATGAAAAAGTGAAAAGATGCCAGACCATGCAGTTGATTTCCATTAATGATACTCCAAAAATGAAGGAAGCCTTTTTACTCCGTTTAGCTGTAACTGGAAAAATAATGTAAGAAAAAAAAATCAAGGCTGATTTAATATACTGTATATTTGAATGCTGTTTATTGCTGATTCTTTCATTTTTGACAATGATTTGTATATTGTGGCGATTTGTAAGCAATGAATAAGCTACCCTGCTGCTTCACTACTAGAGCTGGATGTGCTGGTGTGAATGAGTGTGTGAGCGGGACCGGGGACAGAATGAGACAGATGGTGAGAAACAATAAAGACAAATCTGATATTAACTCTCACTTATGTACCCAGAGCTGAATGAACAAGTAGTCCTGTTTGGTGTAATGCATACTTACACCCCGACATGCAGCAGCTCATAGTGATATACCAATAGTGAACACCAACCGAAAGTGATATAAAACAAATGCTAAAAGGCAGATGAGCAGCCCTGGTGTCTGCAGCCTTAAATGGTTATTATGTTGTTTCTATTACTATGATCTATGAATAGTCTCCAAACTGTCTAACTTGGCCTTATTCGTTTCTTGGATGGCTTGAAGTTGTCTTTTTGTATAAAAGGGGCGTTTAGTCTGTTTCTCTTTATCAAAGCACTAAAACAACTGATTAAGTCAGGCCACCCTTTCCTGTCTTCAGAGAATCAGATGAAGTACTTCACAGATTTGCTGTAAAGATGTACATATTTTTGTAAAGAGCCAAAAAAAAAAATCATTTTTGAAATGATTGGATGATATGTTTCTGTGTCAAATGAATGGGAGATGTGTATTTGTGTGTAGGTTGCATGTGTTTGTTGGGTGAAACATGATGGTGTAATGTAACTGGATTCTGTGCAATTCTGTAGAATGTTAGGTCACCTAAGGTTTTAACCTTATTTATTGGGTAAGGATGAGCTAGAGGTTTCTGTTTAGTTTCCAATTTTATTATTTATGTACTGGCAAATGTGGTGATTCACTCGTTCATTTCAGAAAGCACATTAATGTTTTGTATTTTTCTTTTACGGTTTCCATGTTCATGTTGGTAGATTGTTTTCTCCCAAATTCTTTGATTATGGATCAATCCCATGTGACAGGATTAGAAAAATAAAATCATTTTTAAATAATCCCAGTTATTTCTCATTGTCACTGATTTTACTTAAGTTCTACAAGTTACATACGTTATATCAGCTTTTGTTGCCATTTTGTAAACATTTTAGTTTTTACTTTTAAATTTAGAATTTTTACATGTCCATCTCTCTGTTTTTTGTTGTGTTCATATTATTCCCACTCTAAAAGTGCATCTTTGAACATGTAGGTGAATGTTAACCGTCCCGGTCATATTTTACCCCCAAATAAAATGTAAAAATAAACAAAAAACCATATAATAATTCTTCAGTAGAGTCTTTTTACTAGAAGTAAGAAGTTGTAACACGAAGTAATTCTGGTTTTTATTTGTCATGAAAAATGTTCATTTCTATTAGGCAATTTTTTTTTTTTTGGAAGTGAAATATGACCTGGACATGTTCTTGATGGGCTTCATAATCTTCAACCTTCTATAACTGCATTCTAGACAGATGATATCAGACCATAGAAATCTACGTATACAGACACTTTAATTGGAAACTCAAACTGATACAAACACAAAATGTGATGAGCTTATGTGACTGTGATATAGAGAGGTTAGACAGTTATTTCTTCTACGAATGGCAGTTTTTTAACACTTGCATTTTTGACTGGATGTGATCCATTACTGTAAGGATATACAGTATCTCACAGAAGTGAGTACACCCCTCACATTTTTGTAAATATTTTATTATATCTTTTCATGTGACAACACTGAAGAAATGACACTTTGCTACAATGTAAAGTAGTGAGTGTACAGCTTGTATAACAGTGTAAATTTGCTGTCCCCTCAAAATAACTCAACACACAGCCATTAATGTCTAAACCGCTGGCCACAAAAGTGAGTACACCCCTAAGTGAAAATGTCCAAATTGGGCCCAAAGTGTCAATATTTTGTGTGGCCACCATTATTTTCCAGCACTGCCTTAACCCTCTTGGGCATGGAGTTCACCAGAGCTTCACAGGTTGCCACTGGAGTCCTCTTCCACTCCTCCATGATGACATCACGGAGCTGGTGGATGTTAGAGACCATGAGAGGCTCAATAGGGTTTAGGTCTGGAGACATGCTTGGCTAATCCATCACCTTTACCCTCAGCTTCTTTAGCAAGCTTTACATCTCATATACTCACAATACCCAAAACTACTTTTTGTTTCTATGTCCTGTTGTTAACTAGTACGTAGTGCCAGCCAACAATGACAACTAGATTTGTTCAGAGCTCAAAATTATTAGACACCAAATATATGAAAGCATTTCCAATAACAAGCTTTATTTTGATTGTGTCTCATGTGTGCTTAGCATGAAGCATTTCAGTCAGCAATGAGTTGCAAGGCAGATCTCCCAGCAGGTGGCGCTGATACAGGTATTCCTCCACCTGTAGGCTGATGCTGCGCACCTCTGGCAGACGGAGCAGCAGCTGTCCAAACTTGTCAGAGTGACCTGGGTGGGTTTGCATAGTGTGGTCCATCAAAGCCCTGTTTACACGCTCTTGAGTTTGTTCTACCTGCCTTTGATCCTGTACTGATTTAACATCTGCAAAACACATGGCCCTTACAACTCTGGTCCAACAGGACATGTTCAGATTAAAAGAAAAAAGAAACCCACCTGGATTGAAGAGAACCAAATATTTGAGACACACAAACTCCTCTCTGTCTAGTTGTAGTGACCTAAGCTTGGAGACAAGGTCCTGGGCTCTGGACACCAAACTACTGAGAGTTGCTCCGGCCTGACTGAGGATGGTCGATACCTCAATCTGGTACAATAAAGGCAAGTCAAAGAAAATGCAAAGACTCCTAAACAGTCATTAAACTGTAACTATGGTGAAGTGCAGCGTTGCCCAGCCCTGTTCCTGGAGGCACACCAATGGTACAAATTTTCCAACTCTTTCTAATTCATACCACCGGATTCAGCTCAACAGCATATTAGTAGAGACTGAAATAGATGGGCCAGATAAGGGAGACATCCAAAATGTGACCTGTTGATGTGCCTCCAGGAACAGAGTAGGGAAATGCTGGTTTAGTGATAGAGGTGTTCTTACCTGCTGTCCAGTAATAAGACAGATGCTGCCATCTCGCCCATAAGCCACCTGCCTGCATAAGTGATCCAGGACAAGAAGCTCACTCCAGCAGCTCTGCAGTAACACCATTTGATCCTCTACCTGTATGAGATCAGGTACTCTAGTTATGCAGCATTGGACAACTTAGACCAGGGGTTCTCAACTCTGACCCTCAAGGTTCACTTTTCTGCAGAGTTTAGCTCCAACCTTCATCAAACTCGCTTGCCAGTAACTTTCTAGTAATCCCAAAGACCCTGATTAGCTTGTTTAGGTGCATTTGATTAGGGTTGGAGCTAAACTGTGCAGGAAAGTGGACCTTGAGTGCCAGAGTTAAGAACCCCTGACTTTTGGTCCTTGAAAAGCAGAGATGGGCAGCTTCGGTCCTGGAGGGCCACTGTCCTGCAGGGTTTAGCTCCAACCCTGATCCTGAACAAGCCCTAAACCCAAGCCTGAACAAGCTAATCAATAGGCTTGTTTGAGATGCGCCTCGCCTCGCCTGAAATGTAGGCGAGAGTAGGCAGCTGCAGTGAGGGGAGGAGTGAAATAAGCGCAGTCAAGACGGACAGTTCTGCCCTCTCGAAGTGAACAGATACCAACGAGATCAAAGACAGATATCGCGTTATTCTCACTCATGTGCTGTGCTGCTGATTAACATGATAT